ACCACCAACAAAAAAACCAAATCTCTGCTGCATATAACTACAATCATTTTTTTTTTTTTTTTGCGGAACTGGGGATTGAACTCAGGTCCTTGTACTTGCCAGGGAAGTGCTTATTCCACTGAGCCATCTCCCCAGCCCCATAATGTATTTTTAATGCCAAATATGGTAAGGCCCTAAATGTTTTCTACCTCCAGCCCAAATCAGTAAAACTGATTTGATTATTCAAGAAACACAAATGAAGAAAATGGAAAGGCAAGGGCAGAAATTTACAAGCCTTGACAATTACACTCACTAACCTGCTCACCTGCTACTCAGGAGAAACCAAACCAGCTGTAGACCCTAACAATCCTAGAATCTTCCTGTGTTTTCCCATCACAAGTGATTCTGCTTAGCTTGGCTTCCTAGGGGTGTAACTCAGTAGTACAGTGCTTGCTGAGCGTGTGCAAGACCGTGGGTTCAATCCCTAGTACTGCAAGAACAAAACAAAACAAGAATCACAGTATTTGGCCTGGCTTAATCTAAAACTGCTTTTTATTACACCTGATATAAATGAATAAAGATCACCTCAAAAAAGCTGACTCTAATAGTTTGTACATTTCTCAGAAACATTTCAGAGGAGTTTTATTTTTTTCAGATGAGTTTTTATATATACCATGTAACTGAGCATAGTGGTACATCCTGTAATCACTGAGGCAGGAGAATGGCTGTGAGTTCAAGGCTAGCCTGAACTACAGTGAGACCCTGTCTCAAAAAACAAAACAAAAATCATATAAATATGCAAGATTTAAAGTTCTAAGACTATATACTTAAACACAAAACTGCTTAACTCAGATTTTGCACTTTTAGTGGGTTATCTGCTAATGTTTTCAACTGCAGCATGGTGAGATTACCTTCATTAATTGGGCCCTAAATACTGATCAAAAAAGAAGATTCTTTAACTGGGTAGGGTACACATGTCTTTTATCCCAATACTCTGGGAAGCTGAGGCATGAGGATTGCAAGGGGTTTTTTTTAGGAACTGGTGATTGAACGCTGGCCCTCATGCTTGCCAGACAAGCGCTTATTCTATTGAGCTATCTTCCTGGCCCCAGGATTGTAAGTTTTAGCCAGTCTGGACTACTTGACAACTAGCAAGACTGTTTAAAAAAAAAAAAAATTAAAAAAAAATTAGTCTAGCTTCTAAGTGCTAGTTATCAGTGCTGTGTCGTGCCCACTGCCTGTATCCTCATCTTTGCCAGTCAGCCTGCAAATGTGTGCTGAGTAAGACAGTGAACGACTGGGTGCAAATCTGGCCTCAGGGCTAGAAAAACCACAGGGCACCATCCTGCAGTGGGCAGAAGACTTGTCTCCACAGGAGGCAGTGTAATTGTTTTTTACTTCCTCTTACAACCTTTCTTACAAGCATCTCCCCAGCTTCTTTAGGGTACTCGAAAAGGGCTTTCCATGGTGGGGCAATGGGGTTAATTCATCTGTAGGCTAACTGTACTACGAAACAAAATATATCAAACATACTAACTGTAGGAAGTCGGACAACTTTCAGGACAAAGAAAAGGGAGAGCAAGAGAATTCCTATCTTCAGTGCTGACTCTGCCTTTCTTGTGGCTAAATTACTCAGCATTTCTGGGCCTAAGTCATTCTATCCAACCTCCTTGATTTCCAAACTCTCAGCTCAAAAATTCTAATTCTGGAACAAGATTTTTTAAAAGATCTTCTCTGAGATACGGACAAGAGATGAAATGTGGAGCTAAAATCAGCGCAAACTCCTTTCTAATCCACTTAATAGCTTTTTTCCCAATTAATATTCTTTTCAGATCTGAGTCCAATTATTCAGCAAAGAGCATGAGATCACCTTCAAGCATCTCCCCAGCCCCTTTAGGGTAGTTGAAAAGGGCTTTCCGTGGTGGGGCAAGGTCCGAGACACTGAATCCAGATCCAGAAACGGAGCTTCCACTGACACCTCCAGCCGAGGAGGAGGAGGAAGAGGCAGCCATTCCCTGTGGCAGAGTTCTGCCTCCCCTAGAAAAGGGGGAAAAAAAGAAAAAAAAACAGTTGGCAAGTTTATGGAGGTGACAGCAACAGTATTTTACTCCAGCTGCCATTAAGGGCCAGCACAATTTTGTAATTAGTCCCCACCTTTCTACTCTCCATAGTCCCACAACCTTTTATTTATTTATATTTATTCATTATTTATTTGATACCAGAGATTGAACTCTGGACCTTGCATTTGCCAGGCAGGAGCTTATGCAGGTGAGCTACTTCCCTGGCCCCACAATCTTTAATTTTTTTTATTTTTTGTGGAACCGGGATTGAACTCAGGACCTTGTGCTTGCCAGACAAGTGCTTATTCCACTGAGCCATCTCCCCGGCCCTCCACACTCTTTTATTGATGTCTCACAACTACATGTCACTTGGGCTTTTGTCACAGGGTTTTGAAACAAAAATATGTTGAAGAGTAATTTGCCTACATAGAACAGCAATTCCCACCATCAGCAGAGTGGTTTTGTCATCTTGGATTGACTGTGTGTGATTTATGAGATATGAAGGGTGACAGGGCAGTGCCAAAGTGGAAACGTGACTGAGGAAATACATTACAAGGATAAAACAATCATGCTGTAGAGGACAGTTTGTCTTGGATACATCCTGACGAAGCCACACCAAGAAACTGACTTACAAAATTTTCCAAATGAGATTCCAGAATAACACTGTGTTCCCTTCCTTAGGAAAGGAAACTGGTTAGGAAACATAAACTGGCACTTTCACCAAGGGTTTTTTTTTTTTAAAAAAATCCAAATGTAATACTACAATCCACCACTTGGTGGCATCCCAAAACTGGAACAAAATAGCTCAGGAAAGGTTTTTGGACATCAAGGAACTTCAGGAACAGAGCAGCTATTTAATCCTGTATTTTATCAAAGAACCTCAACGT